CGCATTGTCTATCCTGGCACGTAAGCGGAGAAGCATTTCAGTTCCCGAAATTTTGAGAACTTCTGGAGCACACTGAATATAGCCGTGCCGATAGAGAACAAAGCTCCAACTGATCAGCACCTATCCGAACTACAACATGAATCTAAACAAAAACAGCTTCATTCGTCCATATTCGTCGGCTCCTCAGCAACCATTGATTGATGAGCCTACAAATTATTTTGTTCACTTTAAATTAAAGTTAATGCTATAGTGTTGGCTATAGTTAAAATGAGAACAGCATAAGTCACAAATGTTGACAGTTCATAATAACTTACGGCGAAATCCTCGATTTCATCCCAAATCAAACGTCGCCAATCATCTATGTTGGTGGTCTCCATTCCTTCATCCAGATCTAATTCTTCAGCAACTGGCTCATCAGTTTCGTCGTGATACGCAGCTAGATACTCATGCTCCATAGCTTCTGCAGCCGTAGGCCTCAAGATGAAGAATAATTGCGACAATTTCCAAGAAAGAAAACTTAAGTTTGAAAAATTCATATAAACCTGTAATCGGGATCAAGCTGGAGCATTTTTTCTAGCAAATCCACTGCTGCTGGACTAGCAGTTGAAAATAGCCTTCTAAAGTCCTTGCGAGGCATTCGCGGAAGATTTCTAGAAATGAAATACCTTTATCATTTCGTTTTAACGGATATTCTTCAGATTAACCTAATATAGTTTCTCGCTTCTTCGGATTGGATTTTCGCTAAGAACTCTTCGTCCGGTGTTCCCACAACATTCATTATTCTCGTTAGTTGGTCAATGTCTAAAAGAGGTGCCGTTAACGTACGGACAAGGAAATTATCTAGCTAGCTTACGATCAGAGCCTGGGAAGAGGGTTCTGCCGGTAATCAATTCAGCCAGAATGCATCCAACAGACCAAATGTCGACTGCAATATGTCAAGTGGTCGGTTTAATGAAAAATGGGAAGCTACTTAACCAGAAAATAGATGGTGTTAATAAATGTAAAGTGGTAACAGATTTTGCATATGGGCAGTGGGAGGACATGCAGGAGGTCCCAAAGACATGCCGCCTATCCGCGGAGGTAAAAACTAGAGGCGCGAGCTATCTCGCATGGATCTGGCAACATTTTAAATTGACTTACATCAGGTATCGCAATCACAGCAGATGAACGCTTGACTATGAGAGTTAAAGTAACCCAAAAATGAGAAAGAAACAGTGGAAAACAGGGCAAAAATTTGTTTATAAATCACTCTTGTTTGAGATGATCAAAGACAAATATGGAAATGCAATATGCAATCGCCTCTTCAAGTCAAAATTCACAATTACATGAGTTTATTTGTAACAGAAAATGCGAACGCAATTTTTTCCACAAGCCATCTAAAGTAATTCTGAAGCATACTTTAGATGGCTTGTGGAAACTCTGGGATGATGCTTCACAATGACATTAGTTGCTGAGATTATATATATATACATACACAAAAGTGTCTCAAGCTCTCCAGTAT